ATATATAATATATATATATGTTTCTTTACTATTTCTTACTATTTTTTTTTAATCCAAAAATTAGGCAAATGCTAATAGGATGCACCTGGTTAATCTTTGAAAAACTAGAAACAATCTGGCTTGGATAAGGTGCCTTGTGCTGTGTGATTATTAGTTAGGAAATCCCCGTCTGTGCTCCTCTGATATCAATCACCCTGTCATTAGGGGCCTCAACTTTTCCAGGAATCTATACCCTACCCACCTGCTTTCTCATTGTATAATGAAAATGTTCTTAATGGCCACAGGCAGAAATAATGCCCAATCAGTGGTGCTCGCTGAAAAAAAAAAGTTTGGGGTTTTAGCTACTCTTTTTATATTTGTGAGGTCAGAAACATATGGTGTATGGCGCCTTAACAATGTGGGATGAATTAAATCAAACTAATGGTTACAGACCTCATAACATTGCTACATTAACATACTTTTAATGTGCCCAACAGCTGGTACCTGTTCTCAAAGCTAGCAACCTATTCTTATGTTTGTCAATCTTAAGGGAGTAATTTAGTGAAATCATCTGATTGCTTGTATATTTAAACATGTTGGTTAGTGGTTAACCTCTTTCTTATTTGTTGCAGGACCCGTGGGGGCACAGCCCGTTTTTATGGTGCCCAGACGGCCTGGCTATGGCACCATGGGAAAGCCCATCAAGCTCCTGGCCAATTGCTTTCAAGTGGAAATCCCAAAGATTGACGTCTACCTCTATGAGGTGGACATTAAACCAGACAAATGTCCTCGCAGAGTTAACAGGTAAGAGCTAATGGTTTGGTAATGGTCCCATGTGTGACATAGAACTATATTTGTCATGCCTGTTGTTGCGTGTAACTGATTGGATCTCAGCTGCGGAAGGTATATAGTTAGGTAGGTATGAGGAGAAGGCTTCTCAGGCGTGAATCTCAGGCGTCGCTCCCAATCTTTAGCGGGGAGTCTGAGATTCTTGCATCATAGCCTTGTAACAAAAAGAGGAAGAGAGGTATGGCTATTGCTTCATAGCTTGCAGTCTCTATAAATCAATGACAACTAGGATACGGATAGTCATCCCCATTACTATTTGCACTGGCTATAGAGCCTCTGGCCGCCCTTATTCGACAATCCGAGGATATAGTCGGCTTTAGACGGGACACTACTGAGGAGAAAATTGCACTATATGCCGATGATACCCTACTGTTCCTAGCAGATACGGGCCCCTCCTTACGTAGTGTGATGCAACGTCTGTCGGAGTTTGCAAAATACTCTGGTTTGGCGATTAATTGGGATAAATCTTCATTGCTCCCCCTAGACCCCTTGCCGGCTCCTCTGTCTCAGGAGCTCTCCTTTATCCCAACCCAAAATTCCATCCTGTACCTGGGAATCTGCATTACTCCATCACTGTTAGACTATCTCCCTCTTAACTTGATGCCAGGATACGGATAGTCAAATGAAAAACTAAGGTCACGGATACACAGGTATTTTGAGTAGTGTGATAATCCCAACAGACAAGTATAGTAATCCTCTAGACAGTCTATCACTTTAGAGAGGCTGCTTAACAGTAGCAGAGATTCAGGGCTCCAACAGGAGTAATACTTGCTGTTTTGGACAAGTGAAGGATGCATTGATTCCTGTGGCTGGGAAGGCAGCGATCCAGCTCTGGCAGTCCAGGGGAGATGGGTCCTAGGCTTCAGGAGGCAACAGGCGCTTCTGAACCCAATTGTGGAACGCCATGTTGCCTCAGCTGAGCCTTTAAATACCCCCAGGAAGCAGGAGGAGCCGTCGGCCGGAACGAGCGGCTTCAGCGTTCCACCGTGGAACGCAAGCCACTCGCCTCACAATCAGGAAGTCGAGCGACCTCCGCGTTCCACCGTGGAACGCAGAGCGGCCGTCCGCGCAGAGGGGCGGGTCGGAGTGACACTTCCCCGCCGGGACTCGTTACAATATTTTACCAAGTTCCTATTTCATTGGACAGTCTGGCTACTAGGAGCATTTTCTTTTTAAAGAAATCCTTGACTATCTTTTACATGCCTTATTTAGGAGTCAATTTTGGGTTTAGCTGCCATTATTTTAATGGTACTCATGATATGAATGTACTACGCAAGTGTGAACTAAGGACTAAAAAGGTTTCTTTAAATACCGACTGCAGATTAATTTATGAGCAATAAGTGACTTAATCCTGTGATTTTGAGAGCAATAAGTCGGTCTTATAACATTCAAAATATTAGCTGCTATATCCAGCCAAATGCATGGGGAAATTCCACTTTAAAAAAATAAAAATTATAAACAATCTTTAAAAAAATGATTTTAGCATATATAATTGCAGCAGAAGCCATTTTGTTTATTTGTATTAAGAAATACCTTTTCCACTTAAAACTGTAGTTTCTGAAATGTTCTAAAACTATAAAAAAAATAAAATGGCGACCTGGAGCCGTTCTGTGCACACATGGTGTAGTGTGAACCCAGATATGTCATTTTCTGCCTCAGTGATCGACTGCCTGAATTTCCTGGAAGTCTGTACTGATACAAGTGTAAAATTTTAGGCATCCGTTTGAAAAGGAATCTCCTCTTTGGTGAGATACTCCGCTCTAAAGTTTCCCATACACCTGCCGATTATCGTATGATAATCGCGGTTGAACCCACGATCGTACGATAATATCAAGGTGTATGGAAGGCGTGTGACTGTTTCTACTGCACGGTCGCACGTCTTTTGTCTCCTGAGCACGCTTGAAAACCCGCCGAGAATCGTACGATTTTCGGCGGGTTAGTGGCGTTCTCGGGAGACAAATGCCACACGGGCCGGTGTGCGCAAGCGCACACTGCCCGCTCAGCATTGAAATCATCGGAAGCCCTCACCTCAGCGGTGAGAGCTTGCGATGAATGCAAGTACGATCTGCCTGTCCAAGATGGGCAGATCGTACGAGATTTTAATTACCTTACAACCATCGCAGGATGAGAGTCGTGTGATGGTTGTAAGGTGTATGGGCACCTTTAGTCCACCAGTTGATTATAATGAAACCCACCCACTCCCATTCAGGAGTCCGTTTGGAAAGGACTTCTGGAACAAACCACTTTTTCTTCAGAACAGAAACGGTTTTGAATCTGCAATAAAGTTTCTTAAAATTGCTTGCATTACAGATCACCAAGAGGGGATTCATTTTTTTTTTTCAACAAAAGTAGAGTTGCCCTTTAAGGATGTTTCTAAGGTAGCTGGTCAGTCAGACTTGTATTATCATATAAATAAAAAGATAAAGTGGACATGCTGGAAAAAGTGATAGAACTAGAAGAGCGACTGCAAAAAGACAGTCAGTGGTCAATTTAGGTCATTAAGTAAGGTCACTGGTAAGTATACACAACTTTATTCTTCCCAGATCATTTTTTTTTCTGTGCTGGGCTTGGTTGCATTTTATATGTTTACATGCGTAAAATTGGGCTAGTTGGACCCGGAACGCAGTAAATTCTGTTTTGGGTAAACTGAAGCCACCTAGATGATGCTGGACGCCTAGGGGTGCTTTCAGTCATAGAAAAACATTATGAGTCCAGGTGCTTTTAGAAATGAACTCCAAACGCACCTAAACTCAGCGTTTTGGTACGTAGTGTGCAATGAGGCCTTACTGCTGGCTAACTTTCTACCTCTGCTGGAAGTCTGTTTCAAACATCAGTTAGTCTTTCTGTAAAATAATTATTTCTAAGGTTGGTTCTAGGGCTGCAGCTAATGATTATTTTCATAATCGATTACATAGCCGATTATTAACTTCGATTAATCGGATAAAAATTTTTTTTTTAAATGAATACCGTCATTTATTTAAAATGAAATGCACAAATGCAGCATTACAGACAAAGTATTTTTCAGAATAAAATGGTAATGCACATTTTTTTGAATCGCACTGCACTCAAACACAGGGCATTGCAGTACCGCGCGTTCCAGTGGGGGCGATCACATTGCAGCCGGGAGGTGCATTTGGGATCCACCACAACGCACCTCCTGCAGCAGAATTTGTCAGGCCGAAACTGAAAACGACTTTTCCCACTATATAATTTGTCAGGATCTGTCCCGGCTGCGACGCTCTCCGTATATAGCGAGCAACAGCCCGCTTATATACTGAGCTTTGGGTCACGGGAGGAGTTTAGAAAATGTCCTCCCGTGACCCTGAAGAGAACTATGGGGAAAAACACTTACCCCATAGTTCTCTTTTAAGCTTTAAGAGAGCATATTCTTCTGCTAAGTCTGCTTCTAGAAACCCTGAAAATGAACCTTCACCGATAGAACCTATATTGACCTCCAACTTGTTTTTGTTTGTGTAATTTACTTCTCAAAAATACTGGACAGTACGAATTGTTTAAATGGTTTGCTACATAGAGGTCTTCCTCAACATAAGTATTGTACTCAGTTTTTCATTTGTGTGATTCCAAATAATTTTTTTGTGATCTTAAATTCTTGAAATGATGCTTGTGTTTGGTCAAGCACACATGGGCTACATGCATATTTGTCTATAGAAAGGTGCAGTTATTTCAAAACCATTCTTCCCCACGCAGACTTTTTTTCAGGATCACATGGGAGGGATGGGGGGCATAATAGGTGTAGTTGTCTTGACTTGCTCTCCTCCCCATGCTTAAGGCTCTCCACCCTTCCATCCCCCTATATGTTATCTGAGGAGATATATCATTAGTCAAAGTTGTTTTTGCTTAGACACAGGGATATCGTAAACAAATTAGTGTGTTAATTGCAACATGCTGTATGTCTATGACCATTTTCTTCTAACAAAGTACAAAATGTTTATTGCTTGAGCAGTAAATCTCATTTATTTGTACTGTAAGCCCTTAATTTCATATAGTGAATGCTTTTTTTCCCTCTGCAAGTTATCCAGCTATTTATAACCTTTTATCTACTTTTACATTTGCGTAAAGGTTATTTTCTAATAATAAAAAAAAAGTTAACAAAAACATTTGCTGTATGCTCAGTTAGACTCCTACTGTAAGAAAATATTTCTGAGATGTTGTTCTGACTTGGGTGATAACATTTGAGTTCACTTGCTAAAAGAGTAGAAGCTGTTCACTTAGGGTCAATGTCGATGCTCTTTTGTACACTTCAGAATGGCTTTTCACCCCATACAAATCTATGGGATTGCGAAATTTGCTGAAACAGGTCAACTGCAATGCAACTTGACCTGCAATGTATTCTGAAGGATCTCAAATTGACGTTAAAAGAATTCTGCACTTGCCCATTGAAGCTTAGTATATATCCTGCATTCACCTTTATTACCCGTGTGTGAGAAATTTAAGAACTATAAGAATTTGTGATAGCCCTCAATTGGTTGATTTATGAACAACTATTTATTTATTTACTATGCCCAGTGAATGTTCATTTTACCAAGTGTGTCAAAGACAGAATATTTGATAGACCGCAATTGATTTTTTTTTTTCCCCCCACCTTTTTCACCAGGGAGGTTGTTGACTCGATGGTCCAGCATTTCAAAGTCACCATATTTGGTGACCGTCGACCAGTTTATGATGGCAAAAGAAGCTTGTATACTGCCAATCCACTGCCCGTAGCATCTACTGGGGTAAGTTCTACATGTATACTTTACGGCTCTGCTTTTTGTTGGTCTGTAGAACCGCAGTCTGTATGAGCGAAATGTATTTTCAAACTGCTGTTCAGAGAACATGTTTCCTAAGACTATATGCTTATGAATCCCCAAAGTACATAGTTGCTTGTTATTTTAGAGAAAAGATTGTGTCACACCCTGAATACAATGTTAAGGTTTGGTGTGAACCAAGGAGTGTACTTGGCAGTGCTGTGGGTGGTTATCTAGGTGGTGATGGAGAGAACTCCATGTCATCACTCAGACATCTGTATCCAAAATGGTAACATGTTTGTATCATTCTACGATGTTACAGCACAGGCACATCTGCCTCCCTTTTTGAGATTAATCCTTATTCTCCTCTCTCAGTGCACTTTATGAACCTGACAACAATGCTGCCCTACTACAGCATCCCAGTGCCACTCCACTACATTCTCTCTAAATGCTGATGGCAGCTTTCTAAGCTCCTAGGCAACTAGAAGCCACAGGACTCTGATACATTGAGCTGAGTGAGAAGACCAGAGAAAAGCCAGACTGTATCACCTGGGAGGGGTTGCTTACTGCAAGCAATGCTGCCTACACAGAACTACAAAAGGGCAGTGAGGTGACTGATCACCCAGTGCATAGGTAGCCTCTTGGGATGACCTGTCTCTATTACTTGAAGTGCTTGGCTACATTACCTTGCAAGTCAATCTTTATAAACCAATTTTCACTGTCTTTAGTAGGTTTATTTGTAATGGCTGTGGGATTACAGATGAGTTTACAGATACACATGCATATTGAAACTCTTGTGCCCAGAATTCAGCTTTGAATAGAGTAGGCCTATTTTCCTGTAGTATCTCACGTTACCATAACTGGACTCATATATGTTTAACAAATCTGAAATATCTGTGGGACCTATACATAGTAGCACTTTCACACAGAAAAGTAGACCATATAGATTTTGCGACTTTTCCCTTTTCAGAAATCTTAGTCTGATCTCTTAATTGGACAAACTGCGGTACTGCCTCTTAAAATAACCCAAAGTTATCTAAAAAGGCTGTCATTAGTTAAGCTGGCCATACACTGATAGATTAAACATCTTGTCATTCATAAATGCCACCGGAGACTTTAAGAATGTCATTCAAAATTTTGTTTGATTTTGGAATCAATGGAGTTTCCACGAAAACCACATTCACTGTTAGACTTTCATTTGTCCTAGAAAATTTTCCATCCTGCTCCGTCGATGTTACTGGTATATGTCCAGCTTTATTGTAAACCTCATGCTGTTTGTTAACTGATGAATTGCTCTGCGACAGCCACTCCAGGCATTTGCTGTACCAAACAAGTTTCATTGTATAAATATATAACTGCTATACTTTATTAAATAAAAGATGGAAAAGAGAACCATGTGAATATCTTTAATGGCTTTCTTGACTGGAGGCGCGTTACCTTCGCCTTGTCACTTTCTGCAACCTGGTAAAAGAAGTCCGTTGGTAGGGGTAGCTGTTTTGCTGATAACCAGGAGTTCCTGCAGCCTGGCAGCAGTGTTTCCACATCATCCTCTTGTTGCAGCATCTACACACAGTCATCATTAGAGGGAGCTGAAGGGACGAAGAGAGGCGATAGTCTGTCTCTCGTCTTTCCTTCAGGTCCCTCTAGCGTTGGCCAGGAGCAGCTGTTGTAGAAAGAGAAAAACATAAACATACTGCTGCCAAGCTGGAGGCCCTCTGTCATAAATTCCTGGTTATCGGTAAAATATGTACCCCTTTCAGTTCATTAAAAAAAAAAAAAAATTGTTTAAGCATACATTTGCATTCTATTCTTTTAACCTACTTTTTGTCAAATTTTTGCCTACTGTCCTCTAAAAAGTTCTTTAAATGTGAAACTAATAGTTAAACAAATCTGAAATGAAAAAATGTTTTAATATTTATGCATAAAAGGTGTAGACAATTGCTAATAAGGGGCTATACCTTTTTCTGTAATGTGAGGTCCGGCAGCAGCCTAGTGCCAATCATGTTGTACAGAGGATAATCGGGGCTGATGTCAGGAGACTGTTCAGGCAGCAATTCTGACTGGCCAGCTCTGCCAGGGCATCAGTCCCCCCAAGATCCCCTCTGCCAAGTAAGCAGTGCATTTTTCATGTGGCCACATGCTGGCCTGCTGCAGCAATAACCTTATTTATTTTTTTAGTTTTCTGTAGGGCTTGTTCACACCATAATCATCGCGTTCCATGTGCATTACTGCATGCACGTTTATACTCATTTGTAACATGTTTTTGATGCGTCTTTAATGTGCTGCATTGCTTTTTTACTCCATAATTTTGATCTAGTATGAAAACATCCTTGTGTGTTTACATGCGTTCAGGCATGTTTCACTGCGAGGACATGCATGTGCTGTGCTTTTTTTTTTTTTTTTAAGCACTGGAACTGAACGCAATGGTGTGAGCTAGGCTGATTGGAAAGCATTGAATTTACTGTGCTTGTATTTTGGAAGTGTTTAAAAAAAAAAAACGCAGCTGGTATGAACAAGCCCTTAATAAAAATTCTCCTTATATCGAGAAAAACTGAATATCTGTGAGGCTTTTTCCCAGTTTGTTTGCAGAGTTATAGGAAATAGACTCTGTATATGCCAAAGGAGTAATTGAGAGCTATTGGTAAACCCAAGGGTGCATCATCATTATTATTATTTAGCTGTAGTTATGTACACTCCTTTTAACAAGATATGCGTCTTATGTGTCTCTTATGTCATCTCCTCCTATACAGATTTTTCTTTTGTGTGTGTTTTTGCTAGGTGGATTTGGATGTAACATTACCAGGAGAAGGAGGGAAAGATCGTCCCTTTAAGGTCTCCATCAAATTTGTTTCTAGGATAAGCTGGCATGTGCTGCATGAAGTACTGACTGGAAGGTCCCTCCCTGAGCCATTGGAACTGGACAAGCCAATAAGCACCAACCCTGTCCATGCAGTTGATGTAGTGTTACGCCATCTACCCTCTATGAAGTACGTACAGAGCTGTTAAAACACAACATGGAATTACTTTTCTCTCTTTACCAAAGGGACAATTTAAATTTTCTTTCCGCTCATTAAAGGACGCAACAAAGATCTCTAGATGCTAACTGTAGGGTTATAGCTCCACCAGGATGCTAGGTACACAACAAAAATATCAGCAATGGGGTGAATGGCTTGCTTTCCCCACAGTGAATCCCTTAGCAGCACAGGAGTATCTACTCTACAAATAATGCAAAGTTCCTTTCTTGGGCCCCACTATGCAGCATCAGGGATCCCCTCCTTCTTTTAATGCCATTATGGTGGCTATGGCTTTGTGATTCACATCGAACAGACCATGCGTCGGGGCCCTCCTCCACCCAGTAGAGCCACCGGAGGAGCTTAAAGTGACATTAAACCCTCAGATTTTTTAACATAAAACAATACTGTAATGTGCGCCTTACTGTAATCCATGGTAGTTTCCCTTCTCTTTGCTGCTCTTCCTTTTAAATCCGTATCTCTTCTCATGCTGTGGGAGAACTTCCCTATGCAGCTGACTGCCTCTTCCTGTAGTTCTGGCTCAGGTTGCAAACCTATACACAGACACCATGTAGCCATTCCATACAGATTTAAAAGGAAGAGCAGCAAAGAGAAGGGAAACAACCATGGATTACAGTAAGGCACACATTACAGTATTGTTTTATGTTAAAAAATCTGAGGGTTTAATGTCACTTTAAGCTTGCAGATGCACCATGTTCCCCCTTACGATAGCCAAGTTCCGTATGGTACTTTTAAGCCTAAGCAATACACAAAGTTGTTCCTTACCTCTCCTTCTTTGATGCTTTCCTCTTTAAGAAGTGGAAGCGTCCCACTCTTGCTGTCTCCAAACATTTTTTTTATTAATTGTAAGTCACAGAATGCAGGGAGTTTCTTCTTGAACGGATGGGTTATTCAGCTACCTTCAGGTGATTTTACACTGGGAAAGAAAAGCTGTTATGACAGCTCTGTATAACCTCTCCTTCTCTCAGCCTGCCTCAGTTTTTTGCTAGTGACCTTAGCTGATGGATACCTTCTTTCTGTTCTGAGAGAAGTACATCCTTTTCTGCACGTTCTACTGTGGACTCTTCTAGGAAGTTTCCCTAAATGCTGCTCAGAGCCTCTGTGGCACCTAACAGCAGTTATCAGGTTTGGGTTTCTCCTCAGCAAATCCTTGTACCCAGTTCTGCCTGTTCCCTCTGTCAGTCAGCATTGGGACTCTAGTGTGAATGGGGTGCACATAGTGCACACTCCCTCCCCCTCCTTTTTTTCTTTTTTTTTTTCTTTTCCTATGGTCCATAGGCAGCCTGTCGAGCCTACTGTAAATGCACCTGCCATTTTCCTTTCCTGGTGCACTCTGGGCTGTCTATACACACTGCTCCAGCTGCTTCTACAACTTTGTGTTTCTTGCTTACAAATGTCCAGATCTCTGTTATGTCAACCTGTGTTCTAGGTCACTGCTGCTGCCTACACTTCTGGGACACTAGGCATTCTCCACCTCCACAGCAGTAAGTACTGTGAATAAACCTTTAGTCCAGTGGTGGATAATGGGCACAAGGAGCCGTGGGCAACAGGCTCTGACCTCACAGCCTGACAGTGATTCTGGGGAGGGGTCTATCCCCTCTGGAGACACTGGCTCTGCATGCTGTATGCTTCACTCCCAGCCTGAAGGCCCTCCTTGGTACCCTCCAGGACTCCCTTGTCTACCCTGCAGTCCAGAGAGGAGTTTTCTGCTGTAATGGTGGAATTTGTGGAGGAAATGTCTACGCTATTGAATTCCTTAGACCGTAGGGGGTGTAAGCAGGCCCTCTTTCCTTCCCCTTCAGAGTCCCCATCTGACCCTCCTCTGCCTCTTGTGCCCTCACTGAGGGAGAAGAAGCTGCTTATAAGTTAAGTTGACTCAGACCAGGAAGAGGACCTGTCTCCTGACATGTCTTCTAATCTCAAGGACACTATTCCTATCCTTGTGGACGTGATGCATGATTTTTTACAATTAGAGCTGCTTGTGTCGACCTTGCCAAAGGTCACAAGTCTAGGTTCATTAAAAATGTCCAAACATGCCCAAATGACCCTGCACTTTTACAGCGTGTGTTGTACAGTGACTAGAGTCATCCTGAAATTCTGTGCCTCCTAAACGGTTTGCTTACCATACCCTATTGAAGAGGGTTTCCTTCAAGAATAAGTGCACTTTCAGAGAAAGTAGGCATGGATGTTAACGAAAATGGGAAGCCCCAGATGCCAGATCTCGGTAAAAATGGGAGGGGGACTCTGTTAGATCAGAGGATGGAAAGTGCACTTATTCCTTAAAAAATGGGCTGTCTCTGTTGTACAGTTTCAAGGACCATGTTAACGAGGTTAGACACCCCCTTTAAGCCAATATTTGCTCTTGCATGTTCTGCTATGCAAGGTGCTTATACTACCATGGTGGTAAGTCAGACCTGATCTGTGTTATCACAGGCTGTGGCTAAGGACCCTGGGTCCATATTGAAGGACCCTACTGCTTTAAAATGTTTAGAACTCTTTCCTTTGGCCTTGTGCTATTGTGTAGATGGACTGGTGGCTAACCACAGACAAATCTTCATGATGGGTCTCCCGTTAGTTTGTGTAAAAGATCCCATGGCTAAAATGCTGGTCTGCATAGCTTCCATGCAAGAAGCACCTTTGAAGCAAGAAGCAATTAATGCTCTCTCCTGAGGAACGCCTGTTCGGTGAATTCTTGGATACCTTGATCATGGAAGTAACTGCGGGGCAAGGGCACCTCCTTACCTTAAGAAGATGAAGTCCAAGCCTACAGTGGCAAAATCCTGCAAGAAGGGTTCCTTTCATCCCTCCTAATCCTTGGGATCCAAATCCAAACTGGGTTTTCAGTTCCATTGTAAGTCCTCGCCCTCCAAGCCTGCTTAATTTGGAAACAAGTCCTCTTTTTATTCATTTTGAAGGGATGTCCTTTAAAATGTTACTAGTAGAGAAATGCCTGTCTGTCTTCTCAACTCCCAGGATTCAGGACATTCTGACATCAGTAGACAGAAGTTGTTTATTTGCACCTCCTCATTTTTCCTTCCCATCAACGCTACCTGTGTTGGCGAATCTTTTCTAGAGGCCGCTTGCCTCTCACTTTTTTTTTTCTTAGAGGCCTTCCTTTGTGCCAGGGATCACCAACGTTGTCCCGCGTACTCACTCTGGTGTCTTGTGGGACCTTAGCTTAGTCCTCTCAGCACTGCAAAAGCCACCCTTTGAACTTCTTATGAATGTGGTTTGGGCTGCTCATGTGTACCTGATGCTTCAGTTTCTCAAATCTGTAAGGCTGCCATCTGGTCCTCTGTTTACACTTTTTACCAGGTGGACCTTCAGGCCTCTGTGAATGCTAGCTTCGGCTGCAAGGTTCTTCAGATGGCTCTCTGACTTCCTGGCCCATTCTGTGTATAGTTCCCTTTTGGGGTGTGTCGTTGTTTTTATGGGCCTGTTAGTGGTTGCTTACAGTGTTGCCTGCGATTACTTTTTCTCAGTGTTAAAGACCACTAAATAACATTGGCTAAGTATTCTGCTGCAATGTGTCGATGGATTCTCATCCATCATTCACTGAACAGTAGCTCCCTGCAGGCCAAAGGGCATTCAGACATAGTTACATAGTTACATAGTATTTGAGGTTGAATAAAGACATTAGTCCATCAAGTCCAACCTATTAGGATCTCATTCTAGGAGTACCTGTCCCCCTGTATATTACGGTCCCTTAAAAAATCATCCAAACATACTGGAAAGAACCCTGTCCGGTAGCAAATTTTGTCTCTTCATTTGCCTTCTATGTTGGCAGTACCTGGCAATATTCCCTAGTAGTCAGGGTTGGTAATGAATATCACCTGACCCAGCCTCTAAAGCTCATCAACCCTTTCCATGAAATGGAGTAGGAGTCGAACCTTGATAACCCCATTCATTTTTCTGAAGTTGTTTCAGAACCATCAGGCTTTGCAGCCAGGGCTATTGGACTATACAATTCCGTCTTGGTCTCCAATTACCCCAGGGTCTAACATTTTCTGTACCTCTTCGGCTACTGCCTGTCTGCGGGCTGCTGTGATATAAGGCTTAACCCAAACCTTGGCTTGTGATAATGTCATGTTTTTAATTATATCTTGCTGGGAAAATTATACACTTTCTTCTGTGGTAACTCCTACATCCCCATATAGGGTGAACCAAAGTGGTCAAAGCTCCCAAAGTTTACTAATGCTTCAAATATCTAATCAGAATAATTCCCAAGTGGTATTAAACCCAAATGTATAGAAAATAAGAAGATAACCCCCATAGGGATGTACTGTTTGGGAATCAGCCAAACTTGGTAAAAATGTATAACAATGTATTAAATAACAATACAAACACATAAGTTAAAATATTATGCAAGTGTCCTGCTAATTTGTCTATACCTTATTGGACACAAATCAGTTACTGGAGGGTCTGGCCAAGATAAATAAAAAAATAATAAACTGTTATACATTTTTACTAAGTTTGTTTGACTGATTCCTGAGGAGTACATCCCTTTAGGTGGGTTATCTTCCTATTTTCTAACCCCTACGTTACTAGCATCAGAGTTAGGTTCAAATGGGTAAGATGTTCACTCAATGGGTACTATATTTTCAGATTTAGGGGCCTTTTCCGCCCCACTTCCTAGAACCCAGAACAGTGGAAAGTATCTTCTTAGTATTACACTGTGCAACAGTAATGGGGACACAACTACTTTGTGGCAAACCGTTCCATGACTGGTTTCTAATTACCAACTCTGTAGATGACTTCTTACAGTCAATGTTTACACACCCTACTCCTACCTGGCTTTGAGTCAGTTGTTCAGTGTCTTCGAGCAGAGTATGGACAATTCTGTGACCAGTGCTGTGGGATAATTCTTAGTCACGTTTTACACACGTTTTACACATCCTAGCTGGAGCTAGGTCAGTCGTTCAGGGTCTATGAGCAGAGTATAGATCAAGTTAACCAGGCTCCCGAAGTCTAGGAGGGCATGCATACATTTCTCACTTATCTTTACCCCAAAGTTTGGAGTGTCGATATAAGTGACCAGACCTGGACACACAAATGAAGACAGCCATCAAACTAGGCCACACTCCATAGGCGCTTGGGCAGAGGGCACTCGGCGGCAATATGACACCACCAACACTGGGTACGCCCATGTGTTCTGCCAGGACTTTTCAAGCGGGGCCTTCCAATAGGAGTTGATCCTCCAACCACTTTCACCTCAGTGCCTCCCTTTTGTGACTTTACAGGTTGTAAAGCTTTTTTTGAACTGCTTGCTAAGGGAGACAGCCCCATGATTGTTGGGTACCTTGAAGCTTTAGATATGTCCAAGGGGGTAATGCTAGCTACATCAGTTGAAGGCTTGGCTCATTTACCTTCACAGCTCTGCAGGTAGAGCTCTTAAGAACTTGTCCTAGGTGACCCTCTTCAAAATGTGTGGCTCTGTAATAACCTCGGGCTGCAGCTGCTATTTAACCAGGTTGGTCAAGTCATACATTTGGGAGCAGGGAGACCCTTTGTTTGCTAGCTTAACTGTGTACCCACTGAACCCTCAGCGGGTCTGTCATACCCGGGTGCTACAGGATCTCTGCTTTCAATTTTTCATAATCTAGTGCATAATCTTCACAACATCTTGCGCTGTCATACTTTGTAGGGGTTAACTTTCTGTGTAAATGTATATTTTATATAAATATTTATTATTATTTAAACTATTTGTAAGTTGTAGTTTGCCTAAAGCTGCATTTCTAGCAATTTTAGTTTCCTCTCATGCCCTATGTGCTTGAAACTATACCTAAAGCTATACAGTATAATGGAAAAAAAAGTAGTGCTGTGGAAATTAAAGATTAATTTCTCGATTTAATCATTAAACTTTTTGATCGATTAAAATTATTTTGATCGCTAATGGACACACTCACCTCTCCGCCGGCTTCCGGGAGTCCCGTCGGCGATGCGGTGACGTCACGGACATCGACGTCATCGGACTCCTCCCCCCCTTCCCCAAGTGGCTCCGTCTGCTAACGAAGGGAAGGAGTCCGGTGACGCCGATGTCCGTGATGGCTAACAAAGGGAAGGGGGGAGGAGTCCGCTGATGTCGATGTCCGTGATGTCACCGGACTCCTCCCCCCTTCGTTAGCCGATGGAGCCACTTGGGCCAGTGAGTTTGCCCAAGAAACTTCCTGCATGAGCGCCTGCCAAGGCATTGGCCTATACACATACAGCACAGCAATGAAGTAATAAAATGAACTAGGATCACACTAATCCAGCACGTTATTATTCTGAGTTGCCCCACTGGCGGCCATATTGAGTGGGGCACGTGAGATTAATAACGTGCTGGATTAGTGTGATCCTAGTTCATTTTATTACTTCATTGTTGTGCTGTATGTGTATAGGCCAATGTAGTTGGATCTGTATGTGCGTTATAATTGAAATTAATCCATTAAAAAATGTTTTGATTAATCGAACACGAAAATTTTAATCATTACCAGCACTAAAAAAAAGTATTTGTTTTGCTTACAATTAAATAATGTATCTGTCTCATAGGTACACCCCTGTAGGGAGGTCGTTCTTTTCTGCACCTGAAGGGTATGATCACCCCTTGGGGGGCGGAAGAGAAGTGTGGTTTGGCTTCCATCAATCTGTCCGACCTGCCATGTGGAAAATGATGCTTAATATAGATGGTAAGTAAACTGAATGCTATAATCTCCCTTGTAAAAAAGAGTTTCTAGATCGATCAAAGAATTGTATTTTGACATATACATGTGCTTTTGGATATGTTTTTGGATCAGCGGGGTACTTATCTGCAGAAGTCTTCCTGGTGTATATCCCATTTCCTTGTTTACAGCATACTGTATTATTACATGTACCTTTCAAAACTTTTTTTTGTGGGTGCTAGTTGACAACCTTAACAAGGATATCTATTACTGCGGCAAAACCAAAACATGGTTTGAGGCAAAATCAACTGAATGTTTCTATCCGTGTTTTCTTATAGGCATCTTTTGCAAGGTAAAGAATTGTTGCCTTCCCCTTTTTAACCCCTTCATGACTGAGGCCCTTTTTTCAATTTTTGCACCCATGTTATATTCCACATTTTAGGCCTGAAAATGAAGTACATAAGCTTCTTTTTGGCAGATTCTGCACTTCTGCAATTCTGCACTTCTAGGCCCCATAGACTTCACTGGAGATGCTCAAAAACGTGCGTTTGAGTTTTTGCACATTTTTCCATGTTTCGGCATTCACATCACTGTGCCACAATCTGCTCATAAAAACATTATGTGTGTGCGTTTTACCTGCGTAAAAATATGCATAAACGTGCTACACAAAACGCGTTGAAAAAGCGCATATTTGATGTTGCTCAGGTGTGAATGAGGGCTTAAAAGCATGGATGACTTCAGCTATGAGGAAGGATTAGATTAACTGAATTTGTTCTCTCTGGAGAAGAGGTGATTGAGGGGGGATATAATCACCATGTATAAATACATAAATAGTCCATATAGTGAGCTTGGTGCAAAGTAATTCAGTTTAAGGTCACTGCAAAGGACAAGGGGGCACTCTTTGCGTCATAAAGGAAAGGCTTCTTCATAGTAAGAGCTGTGAAATGGAATAGGCGTCCTCAGGAACTAGTTCTAGGTAGCTCTGTTGTTGTTGTTGTTTTTCTTCAAATCTGGATCAAATGCATCAAATCTGGATGCATTGCTAAATGAGCAGAATATAAATAGGTATCAACATTTTGTACGTAAAAACACCAACAAGATTGTTGATCCAGGGAATATCCAATTGCCTTAGGACTAGTTCACACCAAGCGCAAAGCAGATGCAGAGCATAGGAGTTACCGAACGGATCGAAACTGCGTCCAATGTATTCCAATGGTATTTTGGGCTCTAGTTCACACCAGTGTTCAGTTCCAGAGCATGTGGAAAAACTGCAGCATGCCCTATTTTTTTTCTGTTCTGGAATGCACCAAAAAGCATGCAAATTCATCAAAAACACATGCGAACGCACTTAAAGCCCATTTCATTTTTTACTTTATTTAAACGTCCCTAAACGCGCCAAAATACACTGCACTGCATGTGCAGAAACTCATGCAGATCTGGTCTGCATTTGGTATGAACAAGCCCTTAGAGAATCAGTAAGGCTTCCCCCCCCCCTGTTGGAGCAAATGAACTATGTTCAACCTAACTATAATTTTCAAAATTATTTTCAAAATAAAATAATTTTTTGGTCTATTAGAGTCCTCTCAAACCCAGATCTGTAACAAGGTCCTTTTTGCCTCTTCTGTTAACACACCAAATATAATTGTATTACTGTGAAATGCATTTTATACAACTAATTTTGCTCATAGATAACCTTTCATCATAGCCTTCATCAAAGCTGGTGATCATTTTCAACCCCTCACAATTTAGTTTAAAAATGATACGCTGCCTTTGCTTGGTTTCCGAGGAGACAGGAAGGCCCATTTGCTGCAGATTGTGAGAGGTTAGCTGTGTTCATGTCTTCGGTAATCAGCTTGTGTAGGTGTCTCTATAATCTGGAGTTTTGTTGTCTTGAAACAGATGCCTGCATCAAGGTGGAATTCTGCAGTTAGGAAAATGAGTTGTTCCTCGTTTTGAAGGATAAATATACTTTTTTTTTTTTGTGTGCACTACTAATATGATGATCTCTATAGCAACAGTCTATAAGTAAAAGAAGATGCACATATATTTTTCCAGAAAAAGCATTGTGCTCCAAAAATAAATGCTGAATCTTGGTGTACTTTTCGATGGCAGCAATGGTACATAGGAACATATGCAAGGAAAACCGCTTTGGCATCCCACCCTTCCCCAAGTTCAGGATATAATGTACGTTCCAGTGTATTGCTGTCACTGAAAAATAAGCTTTAGGATTCCGCATTTTTGGAGAGCTTCTTTTGGGACATTATATTACAACCTGCTGGTGGAGTTTATCCACTTCTAGTGTCTCAAGGCTACTTATGAAGCTTCACTTCTACTGGAGCATATATAGTGTGTGTGTGTGTATGCAAGCAAGTATATAGTTGGGGCAAGAGAATGGAAGGGGGATAATGAAGGCAAGGGGGTAGGCACAAAGAATAACTTTGTTTTCTCTGAAAGTACAGTTATCCTTTAAAACAGTCCTTTTATCCACTTTCGCTGCAAGTCACATCAGCACACAGCTCTGCATGTCACATGTTCCATGTGGTAGACCCAGAGTTCCAGGAAGTAAAGGGAGATGGATTAATCTGCCCTGTAAAAAAATGGCCAACGTGAGAAGAATGGCGAGAAAAAAAAAAATAAGGTATGCAGAAATTGAAATGATTTAGAAGTACCTGTTTGTATGTTGCCATTGCTACACAATTCTAAAGTTGCCTTGAAATGTTTAAAATGAGGTTGACATTCCTCTTTAAGCTCTGTAAACAAGCTTTTTTTCAGCAGAGGGATAGAGATACAGGGAAATATGCAGTAGGGAACCTAAATTTCCAACAGCTGGCTGAACAGAAGGCTACAAAATAGGTTAATATGCAATATTGTGTGTATTGTATTGTGTGTGTGTATGCATGTATGTATGTATATATTACACACACACATTATTATTTTTCTTTTTCCAGACCATAATAAAATTAAAATATGTACAAAGTCACTTTATATCCATCCAGAGGTACACTGATGGGTTTCAGCAGTGCTGTTTTTTGAGCTTGTAGTTTGCTACTCTAGAAGATGAGAATCTGACAGACCGGGAGCTGTATAGAAAATTCCAGTTTGGAGCACATATTCTAAGTTGCCCATGATGTGTCTCACAGAAAAGAGTATTTGTCTAGATCTGCAGTTTCTTGGGTTTCACTGAAAATTAATTTGTATGCTCTCTATTAGCTGCATAATCTCTGGTCTCAACCATTTTTTATTTTTTTTTATAGGTTCGAATCACAGTTGGCCCACAGCTGCTTTATAAATCCACACAGAACAGTGGTTAGACCCAAGGGGCATTTATTCAGACTCTGAGCAAGGTTTAATAATTGTATTAGATGCTTATATTGAAGGTTGTTCATTATCCTTCAGGTATACACTTGGCCTTGTCATACTCTGCCAATGTTATTACACGCAACTTAATATTAATCCTTCTCTATTGTTTTTAGCTAGAGATTCCTTTGAGTCATTGGCAGTATTACTTGTTGCCAAAGCATCTTGGTATGTGTAGGACAAGGTCTGTGGTGTGAAGCCGGGAGACTCTGTGAAAAAGAAGTTAACGCATAATCAAGGACATTAAATCACTTCTGAACAGAAGAAGCTAATGCATGCAGTGAGGAGTTTCCCCAAGAACTCTACATACAAAGGCAAATCTGAGCGCACATATGAATAAAATGCCTACTTCTTTTTATAAAGTAGAGCTCAATCATACCTGGATGATAATAATTTGCTAAAGCTCCGTGTTGCCATCTTTTATTCATGAAATACTGTTTTTACTCTTTTTCAGTCTTTATTGCATTGCAGTGCTGCTGACCTCCTCCAGGGGTTTTCAGCCACTTCCTGTCTAAATGCATTAACTCCAAATTCCAATTCACATCAGTGCTCTGCACTGGCTTCCTGACAGTGATAACGGACAACCATACCTGTGCAATGCCACTTGTACTCACCCTAAATTTTATAGTATTGCATCTTCTGGGTTGTTTGCCATGTAGGTTAAGCCTTGTTGCCTTTCCAGAAGGTACAAGTTCCATTGTGGAAGGGTTGAATTCTTCCTTTTTCTAGTTTAATTTCTGTATTTGTTTACAGATCTAATGTGCTAATTAATTATGTCTTCTTATTTTCATTTATATATATTTTGTAATAAGACAAATCATGCTTATGAAATACTTTTATGTTCTGTTTTATTGCAGTTTCTGCCACTGCCTTCTACAAAGCACAACCAGTTATCCAGTTTATGTGTGAAGTTCTAGATATTCATAACATAGATGAACAACCCCGACCTCTGACCGATTCTCACCGGGTAAAATTCACCAAAGAGATAAAGGGTAAGTGCCTATAATGTTCCAGATATAGACATTTGATGACATTGTACAGGAATCCTTCTTAAAAGTAAAATGGTGAACTGCACATAGAATGATTTTGAAGGTACATCATGTATAAGATCTTTGTGATGTTCATATAAAACAAGACATGGCTAAACATATATAAAATAGTGATTGCATCTTTACTGCATCTCTAATCTATATCAGTACAGGCAGTCCCCAAGTTACAAACATCCGACTTTCATATGACCCCTGAGGTGAAATCTTCTGAACAGGGGCACACGCAACAAAACAAACGTTACAGGTAGTTAACCCTTCCCTATGCTATCCAAAACTAAATTTTTTTTTTTTTTGCTGGAGTTGCACTTAAAAAATGTAACTGTTCCAACTTGCATACAAATTCAACTTAAGAACAAACCTACAGTCCCTATCTTGTTCGTAACCCGGGGACTGCTTGTACTTCAGCTTGGTTCTGTTAAGAACAAAAGTAAAACTTATTAAATGGTTGATTAGGATTACCCTCCCTATTTACAGTAAACATGGCATTGGTAAACTTTATAAGATGTTTTATTAATGTGTTTTTAAGTTGTTTTTTTTGTTTTTGTTTTTGTTTTTCTAATTAAACAAGTGCCTTTCATGTGTGGTTCAGGTCTGAAGGTTGAAGTGACTCATTGTGGAACAATGAGACGGAAATACCGTGTTTGTAATGTGACAAGGAGGCCTGCCAGCCATCAAACGTAAGCCTCTTATTAAAATGTTGTGTTCTAGTGTGTGGGTATATTTATCAGGACAAAGTTGCTGTTAAAGTTAATATTGAGCCTGGATCTGGATTGGGCCACATATACATCTTGGGTACCTAGTAACACATAATATCTTGCGTCTTAATCCCCACCCACGAACGCCATACTCTTAAGCTGTGCTGTAAAAACACAGCTAGGGTGGAACTTTCAGGGACAGGTTTTATTTTTTATTTTCTAAAACAAATCTGTCAGAAAAACCTGTCAGAAAAACCATTTAACATCCTCCGCTCCCCTCCAGTCCTATGCCCATATTTACCTTTTGTGACTGCTCTGACCTTTTTCATTCCTCTTTAAAAAATCTCGCCACAGATGCAGTGCTTGGAACCAGAGCAGCCAATTGCCATACCCCCACACTGTCACATGGAAGTGAAAGCCATGTCATGCAGTATGGAATTGTCAACAGTAGCTGGTGATTTGGTGAGGGCTAATGGCAGGAATGTAAGGAGTCCGGGAAGTAGCAGTAAATGCAAGTGTAGGAGTAGTCAGTGTAGGGGGTGCCTTGCACAGGCTGGAGGAGGATTTACAGATTTACTTTAAGCCCCTTCCACATAATGCAAGGATCATAATTAAAAAGCCTTAAAGCGGACCTTTACCCATATCTTTAAAATAACCCATATCTTTAAAATAACAACAAAGACCCCTTTAGAAATGTTTAGTAATGATAATCTACAAACACATACATCTAGATAATTGCAGGCTTTGTATTCTTTGCATACCTCATTTCTCTTTTCTTCCTCAGTCTTCTGACAGTGGCCATGTTTACTAATGGCAGATTACTAGCTCTTCTATTACTTCCTGGATTTCTGGTACATGTGACTAGACATGTGACTAGGACATGTGACCATGCACATCATCTCAGGGGAGGAAAATGCCTTTCCCTGAGATCTCCTGATGAGATTCCCTTGCAATCCTCTGCTGATGACAAGGCAATCCCAGTGTACATTGCTTTGCCAAACTGAAGTCATTTTGCCCTTTCAAAGCAGGAAGTGAATGTTCTGCAAGTGTAAGTATTTCACAATCACAGTATTTTACACCTGACATGTCTCTGTTTATTAGTAATCATCATACATAGGACACAAACTAGCGTCATCCTGTCACCCTAAGCTCAGTATACCGTGAGCTACAGCTTGCGGTATACTGAGACACCGCAGCTGAAGCGGATCCCGACAATTATGTGTGAGGCAGAGCCAGCTGTACCCGCCCCCTCCCCCGTCCGTTCCGCCAGTCATCGCTGGAGGATCGGGGAGGGGGGAAATTAAATCCCTCCCCTGTCACGGCAGAGAGCCGTGACAAAATCGAGAAGTGAGCGAACGCCGGTATGTGTTCGCTCACTTCCCAATCTACTGAGCCGACCTGTGACAGTCTCATTGTCACAGGTCAGCTAGAACTATGAGGTGAGTGAAAAGCACTCGCCTCATAGTTCTCCTTTAAGTAATTTTAAAATAGTATTGTCTAATAAAACTGCATGGACACAGAAAAACATTTGTGTTTTCTGATCCTGAGGTTCAAAGGTGCAGAGTAACATTTCAGGACACCCTGATGTTGCTGACTTGTTTTGAAGGAGCAGGCACCTAGACTGCCATAAGTCTGTGAGGTTAAAGCTCAGCTCCGTCTATTGATGGACAAAGGAAGCCATGCACCTTAGGAATGTACTGCCGCCTACAGAAAGATTGGACACCAGAAAACAAGAAAACTAGATATCAGCCCAGGATAAACCCTCCCAGCATGCTTTTTTTCTTATGTGCTAGGAGGATGGATGTCTGTTAATCTCTTGTATGGGAAAGACAATTTTTTTTTATTTGTTAGCACATTTTTTTTAGAATTTTTTTAATCAATCTACATTGCTGCTACAGCTGGTCTTTTCCATTACAGATATTTGGTGTGGCCCTCCTTGGCCTTGCATTTGGAGGGCTGTGTCCGGACCCCGCTGGATGGGACGTTGTGGGGATAGCTTGGAAGTGCTTGGAAGTGACCTTCGTGAACTGGGTCCTGCTATGGGCACTTGTCATACTCCTTAAATATACAGAGCTAAAAAATCTTTTGAATAGCAAAAAGAAGAAAAAATAAACATATAAGCCGTATGCAGCGATATAACCCCCTCATAAGTGTAACACCACAAAACATATACATTTACCTCTATAAATAAAGTAAAACATTTGCAATAAATATATATATACACCATAAGGTGCAAAAAGAGTCATGTTGTCTCTAATATGCACACTCGTGCTTTCCCGCCATACAGGATTAAGGAAGCCTCTCCCTGCTGCTACACCTGCTTGCAAAAGATACATAAAACTCCTATCTTCGATCTGATCCTGCTACCCAACTACAGTGACGTTTGTCACCTCTACCCATCCGACTCATCTGCTACTAGCTGTCCAAGTTTCATGTGTGCCTAAGGTCTTGCTTTATTTTGCCTTACCACCACATGGCTTTTGATTCATCTGCCACGGAGACTCTGCCTGAATCATTCAAGTCTTTAGCTGGTGAGCTTGCCCCTGTGGAGTCGATCTGCTACCACTGCCAGGTTTAAGCTCTTATCAGTGCAGTGTGCACCACTCTGAAATTAGAGAGTCAACCTGGTGCTTCTACCAGTGTTTCCACATTGCACCTGATTTTTCAACTTTGTGGTGATTGGAAACACCCTGATATGCAGTTTTCCTTTAAGCCTTGGATCCGTTTGGGGAGGATTTTGTACAAAATGGTCTACCCTCATTGTGCATACAGCAGTGGTCCTGCCTTAACAAAGCTACCACCATACGGGTGGAGTGTAAACTTGTCTGTAAAATGGATCTTCACCCCGGAAATGAACTTCCTCTTATTTCGCCCCTCCTTACAGAATTGCAATTATTTTTCAATGCTAGGAAAAATAATTTTGTAATCATTTTATATTTTTTTATTTAATAAAAGAAACCCAGTGTGTCAATTCAGGTTAATCTATGCTCGCTTGCTTTAGGTGCTGGTCCAGCTTGTTTGAAGACAACCACTATACAGGAAATTTGGATGACCATACACCAGCTTCATCTGAACTTTATTCTTTTATAAAAGCAAAAAACAAGGAATTAATTGAGAGAGGGAGATTATAAAACAGATGAATCCTGTTCTTCCTGCAGCTGTGTGAACCAGCATTTGGCACTCAGCGCTATCAAAGATTAGGTTCCTGTCCTGTCTATCTTGTTTCAGAGACAATTGGCATCTCACTCCTTGAGTAAGTCCTTTATCACCCTATGTCTTTGTGGGATCTGAATCTGGCTCTCTCTGCACTTCTGACTTTGCCATTAAAGACAGTCTTCTCTCTGTGTTTTTATTTTTCACCCACATGGAGATATTCCTTGTTGCCATCACCTCTGGCGGGCAATTGTCTAAACTAGTGGCCATATCTTGCAAGGAAACCTTTCTAGTTTTGCCAAGGGACAAGGTGCTATTGAGGCCAGCGGTGTATTTACAAACCACGTTCGCGCAAGCCGCCGCCTGCGTCCCCGCCGTCCTCGCCGGCCGCCCTCGCCGGCCGTCCTCGTCCCCCGCCGCTACGATGGTCTCCGGTTCTCCCCCCTTCTCTCGACCGCAGCAATTGCCGCCTTTGGGGAATCTGCCGCTCCAGACAAACGCCTTGTTTGCCTCGCGGCAGATACGCCACTGATTGAGGCCTAGAACTTTCTTTTTACCTAAGATAGTTTATGCTTTGCACCTTAAGCAGGGCATCTTTCTTCCTTCCATCTGTCTGACTCCAGTTCACCAAAAGGAAAATTTTCCTCTTGGATGTGGTTTGGGCTATGAGAGTACCTCTCAGCCATTGTTACTGATCCTCTATTTTTGGTCCCTGTAAAGGTGCACCAGCTTCTCACTCCACTATCTATAGGTGGCTCAGACAGACCATTATCTCCTGTCAAGGCACATGCTTCTAGATTTATGAGTGCTTCTTGGGCTTTTCAGCATCATGCAACTGTTTTCCCAGACTTGCAAGGCTGCCACCTTGTCCTCTATTCACATGTGGTGTATGTTCATGCTTCATCTGATGTCAGCTATGGGTGGAAGGTCCTGCAGGTGGAATGTGGAGCTGTGGGCAGTCCCCAGTTTTCGTGGGCATTTTTATGTTGTGTTGCCCACACCTCCATTTGGACTTCTTTTGGATGTCTCCAAGGTGAATGACTTCCTGTGTCCCCCAATGGATGAGAAACTCAGTCTATGCACACCTCTAGCCCCCTCTGCCAAGCTTGCCTGAGAACACATTTTTACCAAATCTTTTCCTATTGTGTATATATTTTTTATTTCGGCCACTGTGATCTTATCACAGCGCTCTGAAAGCTTCAGCTCTCAACAGCAGCCAGGAGGAGAGGCCTGCAACTTACCTGTATCATTTGCAGTTACATAGACACACTATTCAATGCTGTAACTCCAAATAGCCCTCTGCAGGCAGTTGTGTGGTGACGGGAGATTATTGCACTCTCCTGTCATTGTCCACACTTACTTGCCTGGAGTCTTTCTGCACTGTTCCTAATTCCTCACATCAGTGTAAAGTTTCTATGCAAAGATCAGACCTACACTGCCTCACAACCATGATCTTAATGCCTACCAGCCTGTAGGCTGGCTGTACAGAGCCCAGAGTAGATAGAGTAGAGATCCCCTCTGTCATCACCCATACATACTTGCCTGCTGCATCCCTGTACGGTTGTTATCACATCAGTGTAATGTGCTGGCTCTGACTCCGGACAAGTGAAACATGAGGTCTGGCAGCTAGGAGAGTGGCTGGTGATGCTGTTGGTGGATGTGTGGGGGGATAAAGGGAATAGTAGTGAACATCCCTGTTTTTACCCATGTGCGTTTGCCTGCAGCATTGATGTTACAAAGCTGAAACAACATAAGAACAACGATCCTCCTACTTCTAGGTGGACAGCAAGGTGACTGGTTACCCAGTGCATAGACAGCTGGTTAAAGTGACTGATCTCCACAACAGGAAATAGGGCGCTATAGCTGTTGTGAATGGAGAACTTCTAAAGCCTATCTAGGAAACAGCACTTAGTACTAAGAAAATAAACTACTTTTTCTAGATGGTGAGCTTGCTCCTGCAATCCTGAAAAATATTGAATTGGCCTGAAGTCCAGCTTTTACTTCACTACTGACTGAATCACTGACTTGGTACAAGCCTGTGAATTGCACATGTCCCACCATCCCTGAAGCTTGACCTAAAAGATGTAATCATTGGGAGTGATTATTTCTAACCATACTGGTTCCTTTTAAAGTTTATGTATAACTAGTTTACTTGTGTAAGTATATCGGAATGGGAACTCTTATACTAACATTTACACTGTTGCTATCGGGGCACATATATCTTGGGTGCTGATGAAGCTCCTGTCTAAATTTTAAACATTCAATGTACTTATGGATTTCTGAGAGGTTTATTTAGAGTTGGGATTTTTGGAATTGGGTCAATTTAAGTGTAAGGGTAATGTGTTTGTGGTCATTTTTTTTTTAAATTACAATATACATACATCTTTTTTTCCCTGCTGTCTTTCAACTTGTCTGATGTCACAGGTCATATTTCCCTTCTTCCTCAGAAGTGAAAGTGACCAGTCATTCCTGCTTGACTGAACAGCACTCACATGATGACATGTGAGAAGCACTCAGTCCATGAGTTCTGTGAGTCCTGAGTATGTTGCTGCCCCCAGAGGCCAAGCCTGCGATAGCCTGGGCTCACTGGAAGTGGTTTGAATGATGTTTGTCATTTAACCCAAAAGACTGGTGGCATCTAATGGCATAGAAGTAATGCTGTGGCAGATAGCTGCAGGAATATTACATGAAATACTTTGTAATTATGCACAGTTTTGAAATTTTTTTTTTAGACTTTGTTTCTTTCCACCTTTTATATTCTAGAGACTTAGTAAGGTAATAATAGTATCCTGTATTCTTTTCTTTCTAGCTTTCCTTTACAGCTGGAGAATGGGCAGACCGTGGAAAGAACAGTCGCTCAGTACTTTAGAGAAAAGTATAATCTTCAGCTGAAGTATCCTCATTTGCCCTGTCTGCAAGTTGGACAGGAACAGAAACACACATACCTGCCTCTAGAAGTAAGGACCACCTGCTTCAATGCAGTGATACTTTTACATTTGTATGGGAGAAATTGGGGTACAAGATATCTCTATGTTTTGGGTTAATTGCTTAAAGAATATCTAAACCCAAGAACATAAATGTCATATATTGTAGCTTACCAGTTCTTATATTTGGTGGTTTGTTTTCTTTTTTCAGGCTAAGTACATTATGCAGCTGCCTTCAGGTAATTGGACTGACAAATCAAAGCTGGAAGGACAGCCCTATATAACCCCTCCCAGCAAGCCTCGTTTTTTTGCTAGTGTTTGTGGTGAGTGGATGTCTTCTCTCTGCTCAAAGAGAAGCAAACCACTTTCCTTCTTTTCTCTCTGTCTTTTTTCTCAAGATTTTCTTCAAAGCAACTGTAGCTTCTTTTTGCAACTTTGGGATCAGTTGACCCCGAACTGTGCCTTAGGGAACTGTACCCGGATCCCGACAGGAAGAAGACGTGAGGTTGGTCTGTATAGTTGCTTTGCTTCGGGCACTAGATCACCTCGGCTTTTGGTGCAACATGATACGTTAGCCGCATGATGTTATACAGATGAGGGTGTTGTTACAGGTTTAGCGCCGCGGACAATGTGTCAGGGAAACCATGTCCCTGAAGATCCATTAGGAGGTATCCCAACCAGAAGGGAAAAGATCTGGATGGGGTTTGGTCCATAACATCCTCCATGGCTGACTGGAAAAACAAGGCAGCTGCTGCGAGGAGTCAGGGTTTTTGCCCTATCTGTGAGCCTAGTGTACTGTAGTTTCGGTCTGCTTGCACCTCTTGTCCTCAGCTGCCGATACTGTGGACTGGGAACACTATTGTCCCTGCGCAGCTTCCTTTTAATGGGTTACTACGCATGCGTGTGCCATGTTGGTACATGCAGACGGTGTCCTCTGCTCTCAAGCTCACTTTCAATCTCAAAGCACAGCGATCCTCCAAATGTGTCTGGGCTCCCACTGCTTACAGTAACTGGTCACAGTTTTTAACCCTTCCTGCTTTGCAGTGTACATTTGGGAGTACCCCTCTCTATATGGCAGATCATAGGTACCAAGGGGGGTGGCCAGCGGGCCCTGCCATCTTGGAGGGATCTGTTATTTCTCCAGTAATGAATTTGTGGGTAAATTTCCAGCCCTTGTAGAGGCCTCAGATCGCCGGAGCTGCAAGTGGGGCCCTCCTCATCTCCCTAAGAGTCCAGCTGTCATTTTCCCCTGACTGCTTCTGCACTTCCTGAAGCTGAGAATGAGGATGGTACCTCCTCCAGTTCTGAAGACTTGGTATAGAAGGAAGTCCAATCCTCTGTTAGAGACACTATTTTTGTCCTTTTTGATGCAGTGCACATGTGCCCTAAAGCAGCCACTGTTGGCCCAGCAAAAGGTCATCAGCCTATGCTCCATAAAAGTGCATCAGCCTGCTAAAACCTTACTTGTACACTTTCTCTTATTGTACGGTGACGTAATCCCGAAGGTCCACGTCTGGGCCACCCTTTGTCTCGTTACACATTTTCCAGGTGGATTCATTAACTCATAATTTGAGTCTATATTCTAAAAGATAAACTTACACTCTTCACTATTAATGCACACTCCAGAAAAACCAGATCAGTCAGTCCTTCATGGGCTTTTCAGCATCAGGCATCTGTTCCTCAGATTTGCATAGTTGCCACCTGGTCTTCTGTTCACGTTTGTTAAATTTTACCAGGATGGATATTGTTCTGATGCTAATTTTGGTTGTAAGTTGCTTCAAGCTGCTCTCGATATCCTTTTAAGCCCTTTTTATTGAACTGTTGGTTATGTGGGTGGTTTGTTGTGTTTTCCACCTTTTTATTTGGGCTGCTTTTGGATGTCACATGGTGTCAGATTACCATCCTGTGTCCTGTAATGTATTAAGAAAGTTGAATTTTTTTTCATACTTGTAAAATCCTATTTCTTGGAGTATGTTACAGGACACAGGTCCCTTCCCTCTTATTATCCACTCCTATTATCCACTCCTATTATTGCTTGTTAAAAAACTGAGGCTTGCTGGGAGTGGGAGGGGTCATATAGGACTGTCCTTACAGCTTTGTTTTGCCAGTGTCCAATTACCTGTTGGCAGCTGCATAACCCATGGTCCCAGATTACCATCCTGTGTCCTGTAATGTACTCCAAGAAAAATGTATACAGGTAATACCAAAATCCTATTTTACCTGAAGTACAATAAAAATATAATTGTTGATTGTGCCAGAAATCTAGTCACCTTGTAAAAGTCCTGTGCCCAGAATGGATATATCAAACAATGTTATCAGTTTTGCCAGCAAATTTCTGCAAACTACAAAAGAATGCCTCCCCATGTAATAAAGATGAGGAGATAAACATGGGTTTGTATTACAAATCAGGGAGAGCAGCCTATGTGGAAAACACTGGTCCTTCTTAGATACAGTATAATGAGCAAGTATTGTCATCTTTGGGCAGGAAGTGTTACTGGCTGAGCTACCAGTTAAAAAGGAAAAGGCTGGGAAAAAAAACGAATGCAGCCACGGCATCTAAGGACTGATATTTTGAAATGTAAAAATCTTGGTTTTGGGTTTAAATGTACTATAATATAGGTGCCTGGTTCAAATAATTTTGCGTGTTGCTGCCTATAGAGTTGCATCAATAAATGTTATATTTACTAGTGTTGTCTGTGTTGATGTCACATAAAAGGCTATGTCTGTATTGTTAGGGCCCATTATTGCATTAACGCAATTTGTGTCATGTGTTAATGTACATTGCGTTGAGACAGCCAATTTATTTTGAATGAGCTGCCAACTCGCAAGAAAGGACCAGCAACAGCACACCTGGACGCACAGTAGTGTGTTATTGGGAGATGTTTTGAGAGTGTTTGAGTTACATTGTCCTCAAAGTGAATGGCACCCCATCGCAGTTAACACATGTAACATGCATTAATGCACTTGATCACAGAAGTGTGTTTCGGCCCCAAAAAATTCACAACCGTTGAAATGTAATTTAATCCAAAACCTTTTTACTACTTGAGTTACAAATACATATGCTAAAATATTTACAAATAAGTAGGACACGTATATGAAGGATGGCCTGTCTTAAGTTACTAAAATAGTGGGTAAATTAATTTTGACGTGAAATAGATTTCACAGTTGGTGTTTGAGACTCTCCAGTGGGGAAATAGACAGCAATGAAAACCTGACTGAGGATCTATTCCTTCCTCAGAATTTTTAAACTTTAGCGAGAAAGCCATTTGTCAAGATTTCACTTTTAAAGAGAAGTATGGCCCAACCTTTTTTTCGGTCATAGTTCTCTTTAGGGTTATTTATTAATGAGCCATCGGCGGTATGTGATTTCAGTTCTCGATCTATAGAGCCAACGTGTGACAGCTCCAGTGTCACAGGTTGGCTCTAATTATGGGGATGAGTGTATTTCACTTTCCCCATAATTCTCCTTTTTATAAGTATTCTTTTGCATTGTTTAAACTGGCTAAATACTTTCCGAGAGTGTTTTTAAACAAAAGGTGTACAGAGTCTTACAGTTTGTTTTCTTCAGAAAGCAGCCACATCCTGAGTAGAAAAGCCTGTGTCCTGTCAGCAGCTGCAGTGTGGGACCCTTGCTGTCTGTGGGGAAGCGGTGCTCTCTTTGTTGATGTCTGACACGCCCCCTGTTGAGTCAGAGCCAAAGGTCTCCAATCAGAGGAAAGCATGAGCTTTGCTGATTGCAGACCTTTGGACCTTTCCTATCAAAATATAGGGAGCAACCATCTCTGAGTAGTTGTTGGTTGTCTGGATCCAAATGGGAATTAGTGGACCAATAGAGGGAACTATAAAAGGAATACAACAGTGTTTTAACTGCTGCCAGCTGTGTGG